CTGGCAGAATGACCAGCGCTGTGGAAAACGTCTGCTCCACAGCATAATGCTGAGCCAGGGCCAGTTACTACCACAACACACACACATTACACACTTAAAATGTACCTTATTTCTTTTTTCTTTTCATATTTATCTTTTTTGATTATTATTATTTTGTGTGTTTCTGTGTGTGTGATTCGTTAGTAATAAATGTTATCTGTCTGTTAAATTTCCTAAATGACATCCAGAATTGTTATAATTAATTTTAAATTTCGTAAATCTTACTTAAATTTAAAATTGGAAACTTAATAACGCGAAAATCACTAGGTAAATATATAATAAAATCAAAAACACATCAACAAGACTAATAGAGCATTTTACATAACCAATATAAAGGCCGTATTCAATGTAGATACACCACACAAGTGTAAAAAACGTAATAACTCAACATCTTGGCACTGCAAAATCAACCTTAATTATATGAAATACGGTATACTTTTCTAGCTTTATCTGTATGGATGTCGTATGATGTTATTGAGGTGTCAGGAATCGCCCGCGGTGCCGCACTGAAGCGCGAAAACGCTTCGTAATGTGATATTGTCGACGCGTTGTAGCGACGTTGTTTCATGTACGGACAGGTAAAATGTATTATAACATACTGTATGTGTTTATTTGTGTATATATTAGTATACTATTGAATACTAAGATATTTGGTTGATACTATTAACAGAAAATTTTTCATAAGCATTAAATTAACGAGCCCACAATCGACGCGTAGTTTGTCAATTATTAGAAGATGGTCATATCTGTATCACACATATATTTACACTTTTAGTATGACTGAAAGTGACTTAGGTCACTCTGTATCTACTACCGAATTTACCATGGAGTGTTCAGAGGAGTTGTTCCGATTAAACCTTCATCATCGGACGTCGTGGCAGAATACGAAATTCCACCCCTATCATGTTGGTTGGATGGAGTTGTTAAGGACCTCGAAACAATAGGTGTTTGAAGTTGGACCCAAGAAGCACGAGATAGATTGCGATGGTGAAAGATACTTGCGGAGGCTATGGAGGGTCAGTTCAGCTGTTGATGATGATGATTGGGTCTTGTATTAGAGGAATGGGTATAGAAAGTATTTTCAAATTTAATAACTTTTTCTAATCTGACGAATTAATTAGGTGTTTAGTATTGTCTTTTATTGACATAACCTTTACACATTTAAAGAAAAAACTTTTTAACCGGATTAAAGTTATGTATTATTAGAAATTTACAATTATTATACATAATTTTAAATATAAGCAACGTTTCGCGTGCTTTACAGCGTGCGTGGTCACGGTGACTGAAGAAAAAAGTTGTTGAATGTCAAAAAAGTATCACAGCTGTAGAAAAAGTTGCATTATCTGTATTTATTTCCCCGGAGTTGATATCGACTAAAATACTATATTTTAGTTTCCGGTTAAAAAGTGTTTTCTTTAAATAAGTAGGTGTTTCTATAGACATTTAATTAATATTTTATAAAACGATCTCCCGGCCGCGTCTCCGAATATGTGTATGATAGCGATATACTCAAAAACTATTGAACAGATTTTTTATATCTAACTTTGAGATATCCATTGTTTTCCAATTGTTTGTTTGTTACCACCGGTCAGAGAAGGCTTTATTTATTATATAATTACTAGCAAACTCGGCGAACTCCGTTTCGCCACAAGATGGCTTCGTTTTACGTAACATTTCGTTTGGTGATCCCGCTTTTCTGTTGAAATTTTTCCTGAATTTCCTTTGCTATAAACCTCACGGAGCCGAGGAAATCGGTTCGTGCGTTCTGGAGTTATAGCGTCAGGAAGGAAAACCCGACTTATTTTTATATAGTAGATATTTTTAATTGTTTTCTTATGTAACATGTATGTTTTTAAAATGTTTAATGTTTTTTTCTCGTTACTAAATAAAAATTTTAGTCTTTTGGGCTCAATTTTAAACTTTTTAACGAATATGCGTCCGTCTTCGGTTTAAAAGTCAAAAGAAAAGTTTATTGTTCTTAACTACTTTTATAATTCAATCATAATAATGACGAGTGGCGCTACACTATAGGTCTTGGGGTTATATTTCTGTTTCGTGATATTTATTTATTCTGACATGACATACGCCGTCCCAGCCGAAATTTTATATCTAAATCAAGACGGTCTCCTCACGATATTTTCCTTCTAGTCTAGTCGACAAGTTGAAAATGGTACAAAATAGAGATACTGCTCTTAAAATTATGTGCGATAGCTCATTGGATCCGGAATGACGTCTAGAAAAATGTGCCAAAAGCGTGTAATGATAATCAAAATTTTTTGATTATCATGAATATTACTTTTATTTAAAATTAAAAAAAAATTCTATACTTTGTTATATACTTATGGTTGTTTTTGTTAATTTTAGAAGTTTTAGAAAAAAAATATAAAAAAGTTGAAAATTTGTTTATAACAAATTGGTAAGTTAATAAACAATAGAATTGTTGATAAAAAAAATATATTTTTTGTTAAATTATAGAGGACTGTCATTATGATTTTTAGAAAAAAAAAAATTTCTTAACTAATTATTTAAACAGAAAAATAAAAAAAAATCCTTAAATATTAATAGTTTATTAAATATTGGCAAAAAACGAAATGCTATTTTTTTTTCATCTTAAATTGTTTATAACTTTTGCAATTTTTTATGTAGCACATAAAAAATACACGCTTTTGGCACATTTTTCTAGACGTCATTCCGGATCCAATGAGCTATCGCACATAATTTTAAGAGCAGTATCTCTATTTTGTACCATTTTCAACTTGTCGACTAGACTATTCACCGTAGCAAGTGTTACATATATAAAAAGTTGCACAGCGATTCGAACACTAGACATCAGTGTTGGGAGGTGCACGCCTTGGCCAATACTGTAAAGCTGGGTATCGATTACGCGCTCCTGGCGCGCGCGCCATGAATGACCGCACCGAGAGTGCGTTCCGTGAAACGCGTTCCAAATATTTGAAGTATATCAACTAAGCGCGCCTGGCGCGCGTGGCAACTGTTCCAGTGTTCGACCCTTCATCATGGAAGCCAGTCAGCAGCAGCTTTTGTAATTATTCTCAGTATTATAAACAAGAAAAGCCAGAGCCAGTGATTTGGCTTTTAGATACTCTCAATTTTTCTCTTCTGTACGATGATAGGAGCACAGTCGTTTTTTTCTTTAATTCCGGCATAGGGACTCCCATTTCACTACTGATTTCTCTCCAAGCATCTTCTCTAAGCGATTTATTATGATACGAAGAACTTTTGCTATTCCACAGTAGTTCTTTTGTACCATACAGTTGTATTAATTTACGGCAACTTTGGTTATCCATAATTGGGAGCGCAACAAACACAAAAAAATACGATATGTCCGTCCCAACTGGCGCGCGCGCCACGATTGATGCGTGGTAAAAAACCGACACCCGTCGGAACGGACCGCTCCGCGTTCGGGCGCTCCAACGAACACATTGGCGCGCGTTCCAAAGTTGTATCCATTGCGCGCGGCTGGAGCGCGCGCCAATGTTCGCCCTCTTGGAGCGCGTAGTCGTTACGCGGCTTTAATGTCATAAAACTTTTTCATGAAAGATAAATATTGACATTAACAGTCCCTATTATAAGAGAACTATAACGTGGAAATAAATAAATGAATCTTGTATAGGCAAAGAACGTGGTACGTTCAGATTGATTATGTATACAAAAACCGCACAATCAGCCATATAAAGTGGAAATCCTTACACGTAATTAATCTGTATGGAGAATATTTGCATAAGATTGGACAGGAGACCGCAAACTCCCTCAATGGCGAGTACTAATGCCTTAATAAAACCTTTCTAATTGACCTTATACGTTCACTTTGTTTTATACAATTGGCTAGTTTCGCTCTGCGTTTGTACATTGTTCAATACTCCTAAATATCCCTCAAGTGGTGTAATTTTAAATCATTCCATACCTCTAATAAAAAATGTTTTTGGATTCATTTATCTATAAGTAAATACTTACCAGATCTGAAATGGCTTAAAAATAAAAAAGACTTTATTATTATTTTAATAAATGTTTATTTTCGAGTAATGGTAATTTTTAGATTCTTAAAAGTAGGTAAAAATTATTTATAATTTTTGGTAGAAGCAGGAAAAAGAAGAGTAGTCTAAAGGAGTCAAGCTTTCGAAGTTATATAATGTTCAAATTCTATAAAAGATTCTTTCTATGTAAAAAGTTCTCAGCCCACCTAATATTCTTAAAGGTTCTTGAATTAATAAAGTCTACATAACACTATATAATGACAGGTTTAGAAAATTTTGTTGTAAGTGTTTTGTTTTGTGATTGTTAGTGCAAGGAATTGTCGATTTAAATAAGAATAACTTACTAGTCTTGGGTAAAATCGTTAGTAATACACACATACATTTCATACATACATACACAAAACTAAACTATTTTAAAATGGTTACATTAATGTTGCCTGTACGTCGAATAAAACATGTTACAATCAAATCATACGATAGCCTCGTGCCTACGTAAAATGTAAATTAAATTCCTATATCGGTTTAGAGTTAAATATTATAACTTCCATTTGCTCTTTATAATAAATCTACGACAGTTGGTATGAACCTTAACATCGCAGTAATTAAACAACAAACGCCACTTACGCCATAATTACGGCTTTGTGAAAAATCGATTCGGCCAAGATTTAAAAAGAAACCAACTAATAAACATGCTAACAAGCACGTCACCTGTTGCAAGTTTGAGAAGGACAGCACCTCAGCCAATCAGACACCAGCGGCCGCCCACGTCGCCCCCCAATTGGCCGTCGGGCGCGGGGCAAAGGGGCGCCTCACAATCAGCCCGTTAAACACGACAGAACGAAGAAAAGCGCCGCATTGAGCTTTTGGAAGCTTTTCGCGCGGGAACCGAAACATTCAAACATTTAATTCGAAATTCAAATATCGTGTAATATGGACTTTGTGTGTTGAATTTAAATAATAATTAAAATGAATATGTCGCTGGGGAAACAACCTACGGACCACATCAAGAGGCCCATGAACGCTTTCATGGTCTGGTCCAGGGGTCAGAGGCGGAAAATGGCACAAGATAACCCGAAAATGCATAATTCTGAAATTTCTAAGCGGCTGGGTGCTGAGTGGAAGTTGCTTTCTGAAATGGAAAAACGGCCTTTTATCGACGAAGCGAAACGATTAAGGTAAGATTTTAAAAGAAGAGACTTTTTCGACTTATTTCGTGAATATTGCCCAAAACTTTATTGCGGCCCTAAAGAGGCAATAATTAATTGAGTAAACATTAACATTAACATCTGTTGTCTGTGATCTTTTCAAAGAAGCATTTCAAAACCGTATTTTTGAAAAAATATCTAAAATACCAGGCTCTCCCCTAGATTCTTGAAATATATCTAAAACTCTTAATCGTGTAATACTGCCGTATGTACATCCAAAAGAGATTTAATTTTACGCGCGTATTTCAAAGCCAATTAAAAAGAAACTTATTATGTAAAACGTTCATGCTGAAAATTATTTTTTACAAAACAATCTTAACCTAAGATAACATAAAAAAACACTTTATTAAATTTAAAATATTTGATAATTTTTAACCCCATTTTTATAAAAAACAAAACATTCTACTTGTACTATTTTTATTCTTTGGTCTCTTTATTTCCAGTTGGCTTTAGGATGTGATAAAAACACATGAGTAGGTACTATAGTAAACGGTCGTTTCATCTAAATACATAGACTCATTTACAAGGGATAACTCTCTTATTTACTTGCTAAATTGCTGGCTGGAGCTTATTGTTAAATAAATCTTTAAGTTATTTAAGTAACAGAATATTCTGACACGACACATATTAGTCCAGTGTAGACATTTAAAACAGATACAGTAATCTGAGGGCCAGACCTAAAAAGGTTATAACGCCGCTGACTTATCTATTTTTAGTTATATATCGATGTTAATAAGTTGCAGCTCCTTACAAACGTTGTGTAGAAATTAAACTTGGGGATTAAAAAGAGTGGCGGAGAGTTTATTGCCAGTTCTTCTCTTCCGTTCTCCGCCCTTGATTCGACTGGCAGTAAATGTAAAATTACAATCATTTAATGTATATTTCTTTTTTGACGTTCATAAGTGTACATTGTGTTACCTATATGAATAAATGATTTTTGACTTTTTGAATTTTAACGAATTACATAGGTTTTCCTAATTATTTCTTGTATTTTTTTTTGTTTCGTGCGTTAATCTTTGTTCATTTGCTGTGAATTCTTGCCGTTTTAGGGTCGGGTCACCTGTTAGAATTTTTATAGATAAAAAATATAAATATTTTCTATTTTATTTTTAGTCATGTTTGGCTTATCCATAAATTTATAAGAAGCTACAAATTAATTACGTACAATCTATCTGCATTTTACATAATCCTTCAGATATTTGCTATTACTATGTATAATATGTAGTTTTAGTAACAATTCAGTCTTAGTCGCTATGTTAGTATTGGTTTGTAAAACAAAAGACTAAAGTGGGGCATAGACAGCATACCATTTAAGATTATGCGTGTTCTTTATACCACGGGCCATACCACGAGTAGGTATTATTTATGACAATACACCTGGATAATAATAACTTCAACTTCTGGTGAGCTATATGAAAACCTCCAGGCCATTAATCCATCTTTTATCAAACACTGACAAACAAGCTGGGAGTTCTAATATTAATAATTATTTACATAAACAAAGGCTCTCTCAAACACAAAATATCACCCGTTTATTATTTAATTAGACGCTATCTGGGAACAAATAGAGAAACAAACATCATTATCGTAAGACAGTTTGATAAGCCCCTTGTTCTTGGCTTTTATAAAGGATCACATTGTAGATTATAAGAAACATAAAATAGTGCTAGAGAGATGAATTCAAGGATTTTATTTAATTAAAATTTTTGTTAAAACCATAGTATAAGTAAATCGACTAAAGACAGTTAATTTATTTGTTCTTTAAAACGGTTTCTTTGATAGAAGTTATTGCACATCAGAGGTTCTGGGTTCATTCCCGGTGAAAAATAATTATTAGTAGTAGGCACAGCAAACTTAGCTGGAACTGGGTTGGAACTTTATTATTAAATATTTATGGGTTTATTTGTTTGATGATACACAATAATGTTCATTATTTGTTTCAAAACTGTTTATATACAGATGTATTTGATATGTACTAAAAATTGAAAAAAAGGGTTTCATCAAAAGACTGTCTGAACTGAACTTAAACTTTTAATTATTTAAGCAAGTACGAATAAATTAAAAACGTTTTTTTTTTTTTATTTTTTTTTTTTGGAAGATTATATATTTTTTTAATTATTTATTAACACACAAAGATAAAGTATTTACTATTTTCCTAATCTACATAGTAATTATTAAACATTATTAAATATAAAATTTAAACAAACATAAAAAGTTGATCCCCGTGGCAGTGTACCTTTAACGCTGGCAGCATTTCCTCGCTGTACCTATTACGATACTAGTGCCTGTGCTCTTGAACCCCACGGTCCAAGAGTCTCTATTCCAAAGAGAACTAAATCAAAGATTATAAATTACTAGTGGACCCCACAGACGTTGTCCTGCATGATATTTAAAGCCATTTGGATATTAAGCAAAGTATGAAAGTACCGACTGCAGTGCCATCTGCCGGGCTGATTTGTGAATCTAAACCATTCCCAGATCCCCTTGAACACACACAAAAAATTTCATCAAAATCGGTCCAGTCCTTTAGGAGGAGTTCAGTCACATACACACGCACAGAAGAAATATATATATTAAGATATTTAAAAATATATGTTTGTTATTTTACATACAAATAAATCATAAACTTCAATCGAATCGAATCTATAAAAAAACACTTATATGATCAATACTTAATCTATGATAAGTAGCTGGATTGAGTTTGATGACATTTTTGATTATTGATAATAAAATTTAATTTCACGTTGGTATAACTTTATTAGTGAAGGCCCTGGGTTCGAATTTCGTTAATAATTCGATGAAGATTAATAGAAAAATCTGTCGTGTTGTTGTATCTTACTATAAATATCGATAGAGATTTAATATCTCTGAATATATTATAATAGTCAAAATAATAACGAAAGATTTTGTTTATAAGGTTATAAAAATATTTAATACCTACATATTTTAAAACATTATGAGCGACTTTTAGAAAGGTTATTTTAATAAATCACAAAACTTATCCAAATCATTCGAATAAGAGATTGGCACAACTTTCAATAGGGATTATGACTCTGACGTAGGGAATTTCGATGTAATTTTTGTCCTCTTAATATCCGTAGCTCTAACACCACCTTTGGATAGCGCATTGCAATTATTATTTTTATGCTGTATTTACTAACAAGAATTGATCTTTTAAAGTATTAATATGTATATCTAGTAATTCTCGTGTACTTAAGGCTTACGTAGAGACACAGGTTCAACACGCAGAGGTCGTTTCGAGACTCACAGTTTTTTATGAGCACCCTTGATGTTGTTTGCAATAATATAGGAATAAATTATTGGTCTATCGGAATGGGGGTTTGGTGGACTGGATTCTTATTTTTTTAAATCATCAATGAATAGAATTGTCTATGTATTGTGTATTAACGTAATCAAATTTAAAGTCACCTTAAGAATACAGTATTATCTTGTACAGTGGATAAAAACGCCGGCCGGATGTGTATATTTCTTATCCTATTTTTATTATTTGAATTAGGTTTTGATTGTCAGCTTTTTTATTTGCAATACTATCGTGTTTATTTATGACACTTATGGGTTTGGTTTTTAACTACAAATAACTATATACAACACAATACTAGGTACTCTGCAGAGGAGGAAATGTTTAGGTCTACGTGAAACATAGACTATGTTTTTTGATTATGTAAATATTTTTTATAGAACCAAATGACTTCTAAAAACGTTTTTACTTATTTTTTTATTACCATTAGCCTACTTCCATGAGTCAACTTCCTTAAGTAAAAGGGTGTAATATATCATTTTACTGTAGCAATCTTTAGATTATAAGTATAACTTAAATTTATTACTATTATTATTTTACTTAAATAAAACGTCTTCAACATATTCATACTTGCGTAAACCAATGACTTAAGATTTACATGAAATGAACTGTAAATAGTGAGATATATTAAGAAAGAAATATAATACCTGATTATTGACTGTGATCCTAAGAAGGGTTTATTATTTGTGATTCCATGCGGATTGGTGTAATGTGCAAATTAAAATGACTAAAAATTCATATTTAACTTTTGTATTTGTATATAAAATAATAATGCTTTGTACAAATTCGACATAATATCGTTTTATTAATTCGATAATTAAGACAAATCGAATAGGTATTCTACTAGTAGTGAGATAATGCTATGACATGATAGTTGGCATTCTGATAGTCCCTCCTTGTAGTTTATTGTTTATCAGAATGCCAAATCGTAAAATGACTGCTTCACGACTGATTCGAGCGCGACCGCCGCTGCAAAAACCGCTGTGTGAGTTACAGAATCGCAGGACAGCTCTTAATTAATAATGGTTTTCTATTAAGTTTGGTGTCTACTCTTGCTCAAAATAAATATTTTTATTTTATTTGCTAAAAAGATTTACAGCTTGTAACTAAAGTATGTTCTAAATATAAACAACTTTGTACATTAATAAAAAATCTTTACTTAAAAGCGAGTACTTAATTAGGTGAAATGGTACAAATAAAATCATTTTCATCCAGGCTAACTGGTAAAAAGAAAACAATAAACTAACTTAATAAGTTGAAGAACACTTAGGCAGTAACTTATGATACAATATTTATTTTACGAAAGAATTCTCTCCTTGCTGACACCATACTTGAGGCGAACAGGTCAATATCATAGTCAAATTGTAAAATTATTATAAATATATTGCTGCATAGACTAAACTTGCCTTAGACAGAAAACAAGGAGAGTTCCTGAAACACATGTTCATGAACAATATTGTGTGCTATTTTGCTTGTGTTATGGATACTAGGCAACGGATAAACGTACATATTATAGATAGATAGACATATAAATACATATTTAAAAACCCAAGACATAAACACAACACCAAATGCTCGTCACATCGATGTTCGTCTCAGCCGGGGATCGAACCCGGGACCCATTTATTCGCAGTCAGGGGTACTAACCACT